GCAGTTCCACTATTTTCTGGAGAACAATTAATCAATCTATTCAATACAATTATAAAAAGTACCAGCCCTAATAAACATAGTATTGTGCAGAAACGATGAGTATCCGTACTCATCAATGAGTAGACATTTCATCTCTACATATTTTTCCATCAGATCTTTCTGAAAATAACATGAATAATTGATCATCATATCCACATTAAAAATCAATATAGTAAATATCTTCCAGAAGTGGCAATATTCGTATCCAATATGCAGTATATAGTATTGAGACATTATCACTATTAAGGTATTTGGTAAAATCGTTATGATATTTAATGTTCAACTCATAAATAAACTATAATAATCTAAAGTTTGGCGTCATTGACATCACATAGTCAGGGTAAAGTGAGGAGTTTAAAATCAGAGCAGGTGTAGCTGTTTCCACCTAATCTGTGTGAAACTATCATAACATCACCTCTTTAACAGGACGTCTGTCCCGGCAACAACAATGCTGAATAATGCTGTACGGCTAGCAGTAACTGTACTGAACCCCGGAGGACCCTGATTGGAGGAGAAAGATGTGCTCTTTAGAGAGCATGCAGGTACTCACAGTAATGATTTGACCTACGACCTCAGCATCTCACTGACACTCTGCACAGAGCACCTGGAAATATGTGTAAGGGTAAGGAGCTGAAGAAGAAAAGCTAAAGCTCTGATGTGATGTCTATTTTTCTACAGTCTTCTCACTAGGTTTTCTTGGACTTCTTATTTTATTGTGGTTATGGTTCAAAATGTTAATTATTGAATAAGGTGGTGAAGGTTGTATAGTTTTCTTTGTACTGCGAATTACAAAATAAAAAAGTATATTTGAATCATATAGTCAACATTACTTGCCTGAAAGCTCATTCCCACACATTCACCTATACATTCATTTTCACCAAATTCACCTTTACAAAGTAATTTTGCATAAACAGCTTTAACTTGTTCAATATTAATATTGTTAGAATCTCGAAAAAAGACCAGATTGCATGTACATCACACAATCTATAATGACTTTACAGAACATGGTTTGTTTTGTATGATTTGTAATAATTATGCAGATTTAGTTCACCCAGTTCACAGAGTGCAAGAGTCTACATTCCTGTAGGTCATTGAATGCACCTTCATACTGCTTTAACAATTCTAATTAGGGAATAATAAAATATATGTATTCACTAAATATCTCCAAGATCACTAAAACAAGACCATTCTCGGTCTAGCATCTATAGTCCATAACTCTGGCTGTAGTCCATCATAAAGTTAACAAGATATTTTAACATGAGACAGCCTTTTACCCCTGCGTCCATAACACTGTCTCATTAACTGCTCTATTACAGCAAACATGAATCAGCCAAGATTTGGAATAACAGCAGAAAATAAAGCTAGGGTAGGATCTTTTGAGAATTTTAAAAGCTGACGACAAGACAAAAGCTGATTTTTGGCACAGAAAGTTATATTCTAATTTATACTGAATATGTATAACATAAATAAAATATTTACTTCCCTTTCAACTATCCTACTGGGGCTGGATATTGGAAATTCATGGGGAAAACACACTTGAAGCACCCTTTAGTATTCAGCTGATTTTTTAGTGTGTGTTTGTGTTTTGAATGCATTTGTGTGCATTGTTCAGGGCAGTGTGTACATGTTCTGCATGTTCAGCATGATAGCAAATAGGAGAAGTTAAGCTCTGTGGTCCTGACTCCTGTGGATTTTTAGCAGTAGTCTCAGGTTCTTTGAGTTTGGACTGGAATACACAACTGAGCTGCAACATAGTGGAACACCTACAGAAATGTGTGAGGAAAATACAATTTTACTACACATTTAAAAAGGTTGTTAATTGTGTTTTAACTAACATTAACAGCACACTAACATTCTCAGTCTATTGTGATATTGCCTTATCTCCTCCACATCAGAATGGGAGACCAGTTTGAAGAGGCTGCAGGGCAAAATAAACCAGGAGGTAGAAACAGAGCCAGCAATTCATTCATGAAATAAAACACCCATTTGTACTTAGTTCACAAACAACCAAAATGGGCTAAGAAAAAGAAACTGAGAGAGAGAGAGAGAGAGAGAGAGAGAGAGAGAGAGAGAGAGAGAGAGAGAGAGAGAGAGAGAGAGAGAGAGAGAGAGAGAGAGAGAGAGAGGGATTGGGATTGTAGAGCTATCTGAGGGGGCTGCATCTATTCCACATGAGTTAGTGCAACGTGAGAGCAGTCCAACAGTTATTCAGCACTGCTGAGGACTGCTCACCAGTCAGATTGAAGTCTAAGTCCAAGGAAGAGTTCATTTAATGCACTCCTCTGAGATCTGCAGTTAAAATGATTATTATCCAGTCTGTGTCAATAATGATCAACAGCTCAAGAGATCTGTGTAGCCAAAGCTTTATATCTAACCACATGGCTGCAGAAAAAGCAACAAAATGACACCAAAAGGAACCTGATCTGACTGAATCCTAGCAAATGCTCTCGCAACAGTGAGAACGGAAGTACAGGTGGCCAATGTGCTGGTTTACCAATTCATTACTCTTGTATTGGTCTCGCATTGCACTCAGTGACTCCTCCAGGTAACGTTTGAACTCAGGCACTTCGCCCAGAGGGCAGCCCGGGGTTAGCATCTCTATTGTCTCATTAATAATGGAGCAGGAGTCCAGCTGACTACCGACACAGTATATAATGCTAGTCATCACCAGGCCAACCCACACATGTATGTCAACACAAGCGCTGGAGCGTTTGACACAGGCACTGTTCTGAGTCATGCTGAGAACAGTTGGAAAGGCATGTTCATTGTATACGTGATGTAACACAGGTTGTTGTGTTGTATCAAAGAGAAGGCGACTTGAGGGTATATTTGATTCACCACAACCCACATATAGCTTTCCAATTCAAGGATGCCTTCAAGGACAGCTGTGCTCAAGTGCCTTTCTCAGAATTGCACATTAGCATTATTGCTCTGAGAGTGCTGGTATGTGCAGGCTGCTGTTTTAAAAGAGCTTTTTTATTATGTCCTACCAGACAACGATCAAACAAGCAATGCCAGCAACAAATTATTAATTGTTAAGGCAATCTGAAAATACATTAATAGTCGAACGATATCATGATAAATGACTATTTAGAATCATTTTTTTAAAAGATCAAATTCCAAGTATTGTCTTTAACACATCCTCTCATGGGTGATTTTCTTCGTGTGTTAAAATGAAATACCCTTCAGTTTTGGACTTTCAGTAGGACCAGACATTCAACAACGTTTAAAAAAAAACATAATGCTCAGGAAATACAACTATTTTATAGACTAAATCAGTCATTTAGATTTGATGATAGAGTCTAATAGCAGCCATGCAGTCACAAGAGGAGTGGCAGCAGTGTAATCTTCAGTAGTGAGAGACAAGCCTTCACCCTTGGTTAAGCTGGTTAAAGGCATCAGCCCTGCTGGAGTCACACTGAAGCCCCTTATAAACTCCGGTGAGTAGGTGTGTGGCCCGTGAGTTCCCTATGGAGCTAAACACATGTATATATCATATTACACTAGCAAGGTGACACCAGCACCCACAATTGACAACAGTACTGTATCCATTCATTTTATGCTGTGGGTCAGCTGCTGTCCAAGGTGCTGAAACAAACTGTTGTGAGTTACACTACCTGATTATGTCATCGTTGTGCCCCAGGTAAAATTTCTGCTTATGCTCCCGGGTGTTGTACACAACTCCCACACCGGCGACAAAATAGACTATTTCCTTGGCGGCGGTGTAGTACAGGTTGTTGCGGCACTGATGTCCCCGGTATCCGTACACCCACTCCAGTCTCAGGTGGCAGCTGGGAGCAGTCCTGTCAGCCATGTCCGCACTTCCGTGTGTGTCTCTCTGTCGCGTATGTTTTCTGATATAGTGTCATTCACCAAAAAGGATTTATGTTAAGCCCGTGTGTCCCATTAGTTCCGTTGCATTTCCACCAGTGCCGAAAGAGCGTTGAAATTAGACATTTTTGAGGGTCATGTGAATTTATAGTCTCGCAGTCGGATAGGATGAAATCCCTCTGTCTCTATTTGAGAAACAGCTTTTCTAGGCGGTGGTTCTCATTGTGGCAGTCTACTTGTACTTCTGCAGCCCGAGGCTCGCGGTCCTCCTCGACACAGGTCAAAGCTCCTGTCAAATCCTACAAAGATGGAGCTGCACTGTTATTCCGCAAGCACCGCCCACAAAGATGACGGATCAGCGCATAGTCCAATCAGATCCTTTAACTCGTCCACGAGAGGAAAAAAAGCAGGAGCAGACATCTACGTCATAGCTGGAAAGTTGTGCCAAGCTACATTTTAAAAATAAATGTACAATAAAAACGATTGTCCGTTCAAATTGACGAATTGTGTCGTATTGGAAATGTCATTCTTTGTGAATTGTACATACAAAAAATCCCCTTCAAATATATATTATTTTATTATAATGTAATGTAATATAAGTGTATACATGCTCTCATACTACTAAATGTTATAGGCCTCACTTATATCATAATATAAAGAATGGACACATTTTAATTTCAAACACAGTACACCCAAGTCCATGGATACTTTGATATGTCCATGAAATACCTTTTACATTTATTCATTTAATCGATTTATTTTCATTTGCCATCTTTCATTTATGCTTTTTTCGCAAACTTGTCTTAGCTTTTGTGTATTTACCATATATATAGTCTATGGTATTTACCCTTTTCTCTTTTACAGGTGATGATTTTCTTTTAAACATTTAATAAAAGGACGTTTTTGTTATTTCTATATTATAATGAATGATAATGTAGAACTAATCAAAATGCTCTGTAACCTTTGTTGTACGTGACAAGTTATAGGAAAGAGTATATTATGTAATATTAAAATTGTTATATATTTTGTGTGGTGTGTGTTTCTCCTTAGAGGAAGCACAGCAGTGAAGCACCGCCCCCTCCACGGTTGCCGAGCGACAGAGGAAGCTTCACTCTCGCCATTATCCCAGTTCTAAACAGCTTTAGCTTGGTAGCCGACTTTTACACCTAATTTTACCCCGACAAAGCGATGGAGGTGACAATGGACCCGTTGTTTCTGGCGTGGAGCTATTTCAGACGGCGAAAACTCCAACAATGTTCTGATATTTGCACAAAAATATTACAAGACAACTCGTACGACCAGGTACTGTGGTGCAGTTAGCCTGGGGCTAGCCTAGCATGCTAGCGATTATCCATTAAGAAAAGCCTGCTAGTTTGCTAACGCAGGAAAGCGGTAAAACCTGGAGTTTAATCCCGATTAGTCCAGTACTTGTAGTTTAACATAATTAAACTGAGGTAATGTTAACGTTATATTTACTGGCAAGTCTTTGAACCAACATTTATATTATTTTTTTAAACATTCGTGTCACTGCTGTGCATTTCTTTTTCACATCTCATTTTTGTTTTTTCTTTGAACCATGTTTTCCCGTTCATTTTCTATTTCCCCCTATTTATTCACATCTGTCCTCAATTTCTGTCCTCTTCTCTCACTGATTCACTGCATGCTGTCCCAAGGACTCCTCTTTACCTATCTCAGAGGTAACCATGTTCCTCTCTGCCATCCTTTGTGGTGACGACAGTTCAACAAAGACTGTAACATGTTCACCTGTACATCCGAGGCCATCTATATGATTGAAACATTGTCTGCTTCATAGGCTGCATGGAGCTTGAAAACCCGTGCTCTCACAGAGATGGTGTACATAGATGAAGTTGAGGTGGACCAGGAGGGCATTGCTGAGATGATGCTGGATGAGAGTTCTATTGCTCAAGTTGCACGTGAGTTCAAACTCTTCTCATTGCCTTAAATGTAGGTATATTAGCAATTCTTAAATTTGTCTGATTGATAAGACTTCACTTTCTGCCAGGACCTGGCACATCACTGAGGCTCCCTGGAACCAGTCATGGCGGAGGTCCCACACCGGCTATCAGGTACTGTCTGCCAGGCTAAAATGCTTTTAACATTGACAACATTTTCAACAAAGTAATTAACAGTAATCTAATTTTTCTTTTATGAATTCAAGGCCTTTGACACAATCAGGGCGTCCTATAACAGGATTTGTGAGACCCAGCACACAGTCAGGGCGTCCTGGGACAATGGAGCAGGCCATCAAGACCCCGCGCACTGCCAGCACTGCTCGTCCTGTCACTAGTGCTTCTGGAAGATTCATCCGTCTTGGAACAGTGAGTACATGTGCATGAAAGTGTGTCAGTCTGCAGTGACTGAGAGGCTTCATGTGAAACAATCGGAATTTGGCTTCTCAGTATTATCTGCCTCTCAGAAATTATTATTTCCAAATAATGTGACATTATTTTTGCTATATTGACTGTGAAGATGATATTTGGCATGACATTTTGTTTCACTGTTTCTATAGGCTTCAATGTTAACCAATCCCGAAGGACCATTTATAAATTTGTCAAGACTAAATATGGCCAAGTATTCTCAAAAGCCTAACTTATCCAGGGTAAGAATGACACTGTTATTTGCATACACAAAAAATAATACATATTTTTTTCTTCTCATATCAAGTAACCATTATTTCGCTTTCTCAGACACTTTTTGAGTACATCTTCCATCATGAAAATGATGTGAATAATGTAAGTGTTCACTAAAGCTACTTCATTAATAATATTCATGATACTTTGTTAGATTGTTGACTATTAAAAATGCAACTCAAACCTTATATTTTGTCCAGGCTTTAGATTTGGCTGCTCAAGCTACTGAACACGCCCAGTTCAAAGACTGGTGGTGGAAAGTTCAGCTGGGGAAATGCTACTACAGGTACCTTACAGACATCTGCTAATTTCTGATGTTTAATGACATTTCATTTTTATAAATCATGCTATGAGTAATGTCTCTGGTCTTTGCAGGCTTGGTTTGTATAGAGAATCAGAAAAACAGTTTAGATCAGCTCTCAACCATCAAGAGGTCGTGGATACATATCTCTACCTTGCAAAGGTAGGGAAACACTACCAATTTGATGCATATTGGAAAATAAACATTAAAGCATATAAGCATGTTCAAAAACCCAAAATACAAGAATAGACCTGAAAAGGAATATGATATTTCCCTGGTAAGCCAATAGTTTGCTTCTAAAACCTTGCATGTTTTCCCCTTAGGTGTATCAGCGCCTGGATCAACCAATAACAGCACTCAGCCTTTTCAAGCAAGGTCTGGACCATTTTCCTGGTGAAGTTACTCTTCTAACAGGAATCGCTCGCATACACGAGGTACAGTTTGATCCTTACTAAAGAGTCAAATTAGATAACACTGCCATAATGAAATAGGAAGCCATATTTATTGTTTATACTGTCACAGGAGATGAACAACATCCCATCAGCCACAGAGTATTACAAAGATGTCCTGAAGCAGGACAACACTCACGTGGAGGCTATAGCCTGCATAGGCAGCAATCACTTCTACACCGATCAGCCTGAGATCGCACTGCGCTTTTACAGGTCAGAGAAACATTTATGCATAAGAAATGTAATGCATTTTTACAGGATATGTAATGAGAAATGATATCCCATCTGTGATTAAATAAGTTTCTCCCATTGCTAGACGGCTACTCCAGATGGGAGTTTATAACTGCCAGCTGTACAACAACCTGGGTTTGTGCTGCTTCTATGCGCAGCAGTACGACATGACTCTGTCCTCATTCGAGAGGGCTCTGGCTCTGGTGGCCAATGATGAAGAGCAGGCTGATGTGTGGTACAACGTTGGACACGTGGCTGTGGTGAGTTACCAATCACTTAAAATATCCCAGAATGTCTGAGTGCTGCAGGAATGAGTCCCAAAAAACGGAAACTAGTTAACATCTTTGATCTTCCAGTTCCCTCGTCTCAGGAGTGGGATCTTTGTATTGGTTTTTGTTTAGATGCCTGAAATAAGCTCAGGATATTATCAGGTTTTGTGCTACAACTTAAAATATGTCAGTTATTATCAAACTTCTGAATTATGATTTTTTTCTTTTAAAAAAAGCGGCTGTTAAGCAGCTGAATGGGACTCTAAAGGTCGTCAGAGACATTAAACGTCATCACATCCAAGGTCTGGAAAACCTCATCTACTCAGTGGAGGGGTTTTGTTAAAGTTATGCCACTTAGCTTTGAACTTTTAATGATTGCATTTGCACAAAAATCATTAAGTAGTGTTTGTTTATTTGTTAGGATTATCTTGCTAAACAAAAGGTGTAAATATAATTTACCCTTTTTTTGACACTGAGCTTTTTCTGGCATTAATCAAAAATGTAATGAAGAAATTCATCATCAAGAGGCTTTTTTTCTTGGGAACCAGAGCAATAATAAACTGGCATACAAAAACATTTAATTCCTGTAGCACTCTTTACTCAATGTAACCCCTTTTTATATGGTTTACAGTTAAAATAATGTATATTAATTTATTGTTAATAGAACTTAAAAGCTTACATCAAATGCACACAAATTGGTACAGTGTTTGAATGTTTTATTTTTACAGGGCATTGCAGACTTGACGCTGGCCTACCAGTGTTTTAAACTGGCTTTGGCTTTTAATAATGACCATGCTGAGGCCTACAACAACTTGGCTGTGCTGGAGCTGCGCAAAGGTCGAATCGAACAGGTGAAGACAAATCCTTAACGTCATGTAGCTTTTATTCCACTGTTAAAATATGACGTATGAGATCATAACTTTGTAATTTTAGACCCTCTAATACACCGGAATTAGCTAGCTATTAGACCACAAGCACTAGGTAATAAATCAATTTAGCAATAACATTATATTGTAGGACAAGACATTATGAGATGTATTTGGTTATCTCACGGCAACAAAGGCTGTGTGTTCCCCACATATACAGCTAGGTGGCAGCCATCAGCTGAAAGTCATGCCATGCTAACACAAGCTGAAATAAGTGCTGGAATAATAAAACTGGTGTGTTTTTGGATAATGATATTTAGAATGGTAGTTATGAGTGAAACTATTATTGTGTAGTGATATATATTATAGTGATGTTTGGATGATGAACAGCACACAAAGTACCTATTGTTTCATTGTTTTGAATGCCTTAAAAGTCTGATTGCAACACTGCATTATACCCTAAAGACAGTTGATATAGAGTCTTCAGTAAACACCAACAGTTATATTCTTCAAGCTTAACTTAAACTGCCCCTGAGCTAATGAAATGTTAGAATGGCGTCATGATTACGCTTGAAGATGCTCATTCTTCAGATGTTACTATAAATGAGGGATTGCAAGCTGTAGTTAAAGCAACATTTCTGCTGTTTTTCTAATTATATACAATGTATGAGCCCAGTGAGAATCTGAATGTCTGATTTAATGGAATGTTTTCATATATAAATGTTGATAATATGAATGTTTCTTTGACCCAGTCTAAAGCCTTCCTGCAGACGGCTGAATCACTGGCTCCTCACATGTATGAGCCACACTACAATCTCTCCATTCTCTCTGAAAAGGTAACTTATCCCTTTTTTTTTTTATCCGATTCTAAACATCTGAACTAGTTAAAGAGGCAAAGTAAAATCTCCACAACATAGTCTACCGAAGTGATTTTTTTTTTTCTGTTTCTAGATTGGCGACCTTCAGAGCAGCTACACTGCCGCCCTAAAGTCTGAGGACTCCTTTCCGGAGCATGTTGACACTCAGCAGCTTCTGAAGCAACTTCGAGAACACTTTTCGGTGCTGTGAGTGTCTGTCCAGCATGCGTAGGAAGCAAGGTGTGGTTAGAATAATGTAGTTGTCATAGATAAGACATATTGTGCCGTCTTGTGCGATTAAGCTTCATAACAATCAGACATAGAAACCAATAAATGGGCATTCGTTTTGGTGTTTATTTATCAAATGCTTTGTATTGACTAAACTCTCAGTTTATTTGGTACATCGTCTTCATTCAACAAAAATAGTAATCTTGCCACTGCCTTGATTGATTGGTTAGTTGGTTTGTGTGTGACTGAATTAACTGACAGAAAAGTTAAGCAGTGGAAATATTCTAAATATATCATACACTCAAACTGATATTGATTTATTTTAGTAGCCCTTTTTTAAGAGGCTATTATATGTTTTGCTGCCAGCCACATCAACAACAATACATCGCGTCCCATGCTGGTACTGCTGTATTTTTCCAAAGTAAGGGCTTGTCGACCACTGTTAGTGGAAAATACAGTGAGTTTGGATAAGAATTTCATGCAACACAATTAAAAAATATCTGAACAAATCCTTTACCTTAAAGGTGGGGTAGGTAATTTTGGAGAAACCAGGTCGAGTGCGCTAGAATTTGAAAATACATAGCCGGAACAAATCTGCCACTTCCTTACAGAGCCCCTCCTCCAACACACACGAACGCGCACATGACCAATGAGGGCACGAGATAAGTTTGTGCACAGATGGAAGGCTGACAGGCAGGTAGGCCATCCAGTTATTTTAGCCGGGCTGGCTAAAATGATTGGTCGTGCTTTTTACAGTACTACGGCTTCCACAGATGACATTTCTTTTATGGATTTTTTTGTCAAAGCACTTAAGATTTTCATTGCTATCGGGATGTTAAGAGCATTCCATGGAATATAACAAAAAGTGTATCTCGAGCCGGTTTCTCAAACTTACCTACTCCACCTTTAATAACTCAATGCTAAGTGATATCTTAATGCTGCGTTGTGACTTAAGTATGTACAATTATGTAAAGGTGGGTGTTTAGCTGATAAACTAACTTAATGTACAGACCTGTATAGTATTAAGTCATATGTACATAAAAAAAGGTCATTTATTTATTTTATTACTAGAAAATGGTGATCTTAGATTTGATAGTTCACTGCATAAATCAAATGTATTTTATTACGTTTACCTTGCCATTGTGTAGTTTCCACAAATATTGAAAGGACAATAAAAAAGATTTGGAAGTTGTGTTAAAGTATTTTCAATGGTCTCAATTCTTGATTGCAACAATTAATTAAAAAAAAAATCACATTAACCTGCAGACCTTGTTGTCATTTGGCAAATCCATTTCAGTATATGATGGCATGGAGCTTGATACCAGATTTCAAAGGGGTTGCTTCTGGGATACATTGCTGCACAGTCCCTGTCATCAATGCGTCTCCACCCTTCACCAATCCAGTAACTGAAACAAATAACAATTTTGTTGAACCAAATAAACTACTATGTCACGAAACACATTATTAATCACTTTTTCATTTGTCAGCTGATAGAGGTGTTATAGTGCTTTGCCTGTTTTATCTTTTTATGCAGAATGTTGATTATTCTCTCAGAGCTAGCTAACAAATAACAAAGCACTTATATACTAATAAAGGACTGGCTTATCTAAAGCCAGTTGAGTAGCACTTTTGGCTCTATGAAACCTGATGTACTTATATGATTCTGTTTTCTTCAAGTTTGTATCTTCCTGGTCGAATGCACTTATTGTAAGTCGCTTTGGATAAAAGCGTCAGCTAAATGCAATGTAATGTAATACATGGGACCAGTGGCGTTTTTATATGTACAAAAGTGGTGGGGCACAAAAAACGTAGATGTCTATATATAAGCTTCTGCAGTGACGTGCAGTGAGGTTCATGGCTGGTGAGGCACTGGCACTGACTCTTCAGGTTTACAAATATTATATTTTGACCTAAACCAAAATATAATATTATTTTCAAAAGCTTTTTTTGTCTGGTGCTTCGATTAATTTTAAACAGACAGTTCAACAAAAGGATACCCAAAAAATGTAATTTTATCATTTAAATATTGAATTGTTGTGGTCTTGCCAGTCTTACCTTGACTTGAAGATGAAGTCCATTTGTCTATCCTTCTGGCCAAAACTTTCTATTACTTTTTTATAAAAGTCCTCCTTATCTTCTTGTAGTTTCAAAAGTCTATCATATATCTAACCGATAGATATATGATTAAAAAATTATAAAAGTAGGGTAGACATGTGGATATTATCCGGCTGAACAAAACGTGCATTTATCTAATAGGTACGTTTCCCACAGATCTTATTTCGAGCTATTTTCTAAAATCCTATGGAGAAATCTCATTGCTTTTTTGTCGAGGGAAGCCATGCGCAGCTTACTTCTGGGTTTTAGGACGCGTCACTGCAGCTCTCTCGTCTCCTCTTCACACACCACACTTTTCGCGGCACACGTACTTACAGCCAATCAGCTCTGAATTATGTGAGATGACGTATGGTGGGGATGGCAGCTCAGTGCCAGGGGCTGTGCCCCACCTGCCCCTAATGACCAGTCGCCACTGCATGGGACTGGGGTAGAGATGCAGCACATGTCTTGTCAAATCTAATTGACTCCATTGCTTCAGAAGTTTCCATTACACCCACATACAATAAGTGCATTCTGCAATTTGTTTTTGGTTGACCAGAGACCGAAAATGTGTAGAATAACACATTATCTAAACGTAACGCTAGCTCCTTATGGTTCTGGCAATTTGATTGGATGCTGTTGGAATGCTTCAGACAAAGTGGATGTGGGTAATTAAAAGAAAGGTATTCATTTTCTTTGAATCAAAGTTCAAGTGAAGTCACAAGTGTAATGTAGTGTCATTAAAGTCCTGTTGAGTCTAAAGTAATTTGTGAATTTAGATCTTTCTTGTTTGTTAATGTTACCCTGTGGTCAGTCTTGTTCCATCAAGCCATTTCCATATCCCTTCCTCCTCGATATCTCTCAATCCGATCCAGTAGCCATTTGGGGTGCGTGGAGACCCGAGTTCATCCTTTGTTATCAATTTAGATATTGCCAGCTGCCAATGAAAATGTACACAAACACAAACATGTACAGTACATTCATTTATCTTGTTGGTTTCTGTGTAACACCAAGCACATTTACTGCTCAGAAATAACATGTGAAGCCTTATAAAGAGAATTACAAAAGATGGAATAGCAGTCTTACGTGTTTCTCTCTGCTGTCAATCACTGCCAAGTCACCTCCTTGGTTTATACAGAACTGTCTGGCTTCCTGCCATGACCTTCGTGAAAAGCATCAGAGAAAGTGAAGTAGTAACACACTGAGTTCATGAAGGTCCATCCTGGTAGACAGTGTCTGCAGCCCTCTTCTGTTGCCAAAGATAAAGGAAAACATAATGTGTTGTTGGTTTGGTTGGGTCAAAATAATTGTTGTTAACACAATCAGTGGGAAAGAAAAGTCCTCACTAATCATTGGGATGTGGGATTTCAAAGCTGCTATTTCCATTTTAATTTAGTTACTCAGCTTAAGGTAGTCCTTGCTTCTGCTTTTCTGGTGATCAAGCTCCCACTTGGTAATTTGCTGCTCCCTTATCTCTCTGGCCAACTGTTTCTTGGCTTCGTCCCTGTGCCAGATTGCAGTGTCGTAAGCAGCCTGCAGTTTGGCCACCTCAGCACTGATGTCCATTATGGTATCCTGTCCATCTGTAAATGTACCATCTGTAAGTGGTCAAGACTTAGTGTTACTGAAGAAATGATGTTTCCCTAAATCACAACACTTTTTACAGTACTGGCCAACAGTAGAAAATGGTGAAATGAAACAATATATTTACACTTTTTGGTGAACAGGTATTTATAACATATCATAAGTACATTTCTGATTCATCTGACTTTTTTTTCGTTTTGTTGTTGAGGTTGGTCAAGGGTTACCTTTAAAATTACAAGTTTAATTTATAGTATTTTATCATATTAGCTGCTAACATGAAATGCATGCTAATAATTAGCATTTGTTACGTTTATTTTTCTTTAAAAATGCAGATTTATAATACAAAATATAAATGAACAAATACATTATGCTATGTTTAAGCTACCCAGCAGTTGCCTATATAAAGTATTTATAATAATCCCTTTAGTCTGCAACATTAAAGTACACTTGAATGCATCAAAAACGACGCCATCGCCATCACCCTTCATACTGCTCCCTCCCAACTGGGCCAGAGGAGCACTATGTGAAAATACTGTTCATTGATTACAGTTCAGCTTTCAACACCATTGTGCCCTCCAAGCTCGTCATTTTTCATTTCATTTCAAACCTTTATTTAACCAGATTGGTCCCATTGAGATCATAGATCTCTTTTTCAAGGGAGACCTGCAGCATATAGGTTCCACATGAAACATAAAACAATAAAGGACATCATACATTATATTTACAGGAACATTTACATAGTTATAGACATTTACAAGTACCCATAGTATCAACGAGCATTTCATTTAGCCTAGCTTTAAAAACATGCAGAGGAATGAGATTGCTCAGTTTCAATTCTTGCTGAAGATTGTTCCAAGCAAGTGGAGCTGCGCACATAAAAGCTGTCTTACCTAAGACAGTCCTTGCTCTTGGCACATCTAAGAATACTACATCATGCGATCTCAGACAATAGCTGCTTGCAACTCTCTGTGTTATCAGAGAGCAGATATAATACGGGAGTTTACCCAACAAAGCTTTATAAATAAACGTGTACCAATGACTGAGCCTCCGTACAGTAAGTGATGGCAAACCTGCCTTGGCATACAGGGTACAGTCATAAAGCTCAGGGACCTCAGTCTCAGTAGCGCCCTCTTTGATTGGATCCTGAACTTCTTGACAGGCAGACCCCAGGCAGTGCGGGTGGGAAACATCACATCCTCCACCCTGACCCTTAACACCGGAGCACCTCAGTGCTCTGCCCTCTCCTCGTCTCCCTGTTCACACACGACCGCCAACGGCCTGATTACCTACGGCAACTACAGGGCATACAGAGAGGAGGTCAGAGCAGGGTTGCCAACTTTGGGTACCTGGCTGGAGTGAGATTTTGATATCATGGGTTTAATTACACATATGCACACTAAATGACTGCTATCGTGTCAGTAGCGGGACCTTAGCATATACTGTATATAGGATATATATATACAATATATACAAATACACAATATTGGACACAGACTATAAAGGGCACACAGTTTCATTCACTAATGAAAGTCAAACACATGTTTGTTTCCACTGTTTCATTGTGTGCATAGGCCTGTTGCGATAAGCAATTAATTGACTTATCGTATGGTAAATAAAAATGAACTCGATAAATTTCCATTTACATGAGGATGTGACTAGCAGTTTGAAAGGATGTACTTGAATTATTATTATATATTATCATTATGTCAGTGGTCTAAAATGGTCATACAACGGTGCCGACAATATTATCGTTTATCGCAATAATTTCCGGGAAAATGTATCCAACAAAATTAATTATCGTGAGAGGCCTATACATGAAACACACACACACAAACAAATCTACAGACTTACTCCAAACTGCCAAATATATTAATTAACACACTCTCACTCTCATACTCTTTGA